AAAAAACAAAAAAAAAAAAAAAAATCATTGGCAGATACTTTATATCCTTTTAAGAATTATTTGTCTAACCCAGGGGGTGGGGGAGGATTGTTTGCCCAGCACTGGGAAGGCTGAGGCAGGAGGATCGCTGAGGGTTTGAGGCCAGCTTGCACTCCAGAGACCCCCAAGAAGAGACACCACGACCTGGGTGGTCACGTCCCCCATGAGCAGGTACTGTGAGCCCCCATCCTGGCGTGATGGCACCTGGGGTCCCTCCCGGCCCCGCCCTCTCTGGGACCCTGCAGGAGGCCCCTCCTCCACCTGTGCTCAAACTCCCCAGCTTGTCATCCCCCCTTCCAGACTAACCCCCCACACTGTGCTAGGAAAGACCAAGAAGAGCCAGGGTCTGCCGCGGGGACCGGGCTATAAAGCAGGCCTCTCTGTGGTAACGGGATGGATACTGGTTGCAAAAGACGTAAACGCTCTGGAAATGAGTTATGTGCAGAGCTCGAAGCTCCCTAGACACCGGGCAGGGCCCGGGTGGCACTCGCGTCTCGTCTCCCGTCTCTGACTTCCTTGCAGCCCCGTCCTGGTCCCTGCCTGGTGCGCACCTTGGAGACCCCCGAAATGATGAGCGTGCTCTTCTTCCGCGGTGACTTCAGCCTCAGCTTCGAGGACTCGCTGAGCTGTCGGATGGCGACCTCAGCCACCGGGTCGGACCCGCTCAGTACCAGCAGCTCTGCGGGAAGGAGGCACAGGGAGCAGCCTCAGGGAGCCGGGCGTGGTGGTGCCACCTGCTAGCCCAGGACGGGTCAGCTGAGGCAGGAGGGTCTCGAGTTCGGGCCGGAACTCTTAAGCCAAGAGAGGCGGGGGAGATGCCAGCAGGCGGGGGTGGCAGATCCTCTGCCTCAGGGCCACGGTGAGGGAGCTGAGGGGGGCCAGCAGGACACAGGGGACGGGGACAGTGCACTCTGGAGGCAGTGCTGGCTGTGAGACAGCAGCAGCTCCAAGATGGCCCAAGCCACCGGAAAAACCCTCCACACCGACCGACCACTAGATCACCTGTCTGAGGAAAACTGAGACCACAAAACCACCCCCAAGGCCAGTCCACAGTGAGCAGCCCCTGGGTGCACTTGGACTCTGACTAATCAGTCTGCTCAGGCAGGTGTGTCATCCAGGCTGGCTTTGAACTGACTGTGAGCCCAGGCTGGCCTCAAACTTGTGGGATCCTCCTGCCTCAGCCTCCCAAGTGCTGTGATTACAGGCAGGAGGCATCACCACCCTTGGCTCTACTTATTGTTACAAAGCAAAACTCTGAGACTCAGAAAAGCAGCTCTGCTCCCAGGCAGGTGGGAGGATTCTGGGCTCCCCGATCAGGGTGTGCAGAGCCAGCGCTCTCCTACCCGTGTCTGAAGAGGACAGAGTTTTGCTGACAGGCGCGCTGTGGCATGAGATGGCCTGCACGGAGATGTCCTTCTCGATGACCTTCACCTTGACGGGTGTCCTCACAGGAGACTCTGTGGGGACAGCCCCAGTTACCATGACCGCCAGGCTGCACCGGGCCCAGGAAAGGCAAAGACCCTGGCACAGCAGGGGCCTGGCACATGGCAGGGCTTCCCTTTTTTTTTTTTTTCTTTTTTTGGTGCTTTGAGACAAGGTTTTGCTATGTAGCCCCAGGCTGGCCTTCAACGCAAAGCAACCCTCCTGCCTCAGCCTCCCACCATCATACTTTCTCCTAGGTGACGTTTGACCCAAGAAAGCCCATGCTGGTTGCCTGCTGCCCCCAGGGGACCTGAAGCCCTGAGCTTCACTTCGGGCGCGGGATCCGAGGGAACTGCTTGCAGCCTGCACCTCAGCCCTGCACCACTGTGCAGGGGTCCCTGCCCCGGGCCCCTCACGACCACCCATCTTGGCTGAGCGCCTCACCCGCCGCCCTCCCCGGGTCGAAGCGTGGCTTGGTCTTCACGGCGGTGACGGTGGTGACCACGGTGCCACAGGGCATCACGGTGCGGTCCTTCTCCACCGTGGAGGCAGGCGTGGGCGCAGGGGCGAGGGCATGCAGGGCTCTGGGCTCCCCGGGCTCCGGGTAGGAGAACTGCGGGGAGGCGGGCACCAGTTAGGGGAGTCGCCCAGGCACCTCACCCCTCTGTCCTGGGGCCCCCGGGTGGCAACGTCCTCGGAAATGCTCTACCACAGAGCTGCAGCCCAGCGCTTTCTTTCCTTTTGAGGCATGAGCTGCCCATGCTGGCCTTCCACCTGCGGTCCTCCTGTCTCAGCCTCCCAGAAGCTGGGATGACTGGCATGCACGACCCTGCCTGGCTCCCCCAGATCCCTCCTCACACCCACCACACGATCTGTGCTACAGAAACAGCTGACACCGTGTGGTTTGGGGAACAATCGCAAGACAAGTATCTGTGCGTGGACGAGGATTTTCAGGCCCAGCGACGCTCCCCTGATGCCTGCCGCCTTTCTGAACTCCGGGTCGCTTATCTTTCCAATGCACCTGCATTTTCCGGCTGTCACGGAACCGTGGCCTGAACAGCCAGCTCAGAGTGTAACCGTGGGCCTCACACTGGAGGCCAGGGAGGCTTCTGGGCTGGGCACTGTAGCTCAGCCCACCCTGGCCTGAGTCCATCCCTGTCCCCGGCTGGAAGGCAGCACATACCACAGCCAGGCCCTGGAGCCTGCAGAAGGGCAGGACGGCAGGGACCCCACTGTACCTCCGCGGTGACAGAGCCCAGCACCGCACTGCCCAGGCCCGGCCCTCCGGTCAGCGTGAAGCTCTGCGGTCCAGAAGGCTGCTTCCTAAACAGGTCCAGCGGGACAGTCGCCACAGCCAACGGACCTGAGGAGCAAGGAGACCAGGGCCACGCTGGTGATGGCCGGGGGTCCACACACATCCCACAGTGGGAAGGGACCTGTGGGCCACGGGGTAGGGCCAGGGAGGACTCCGCCAGGGATTCACGATGAGAACCAGAGGGAAGAGCAGAGCGCTGTGACACTACTGACCAGGAAGCTGCTAACTGGAGAGAAAAACGGTCATAATCCCAGCACTCAGGAGGCTGAGGCAGGAGGGTCACTGTAAGTGCGAGGCTAGCCTGAGCTATGCAGTGAGTTCAAGGCCAGCCTGGACTACATAGCGAGAACCTGTCTCAAAAACAAAATTAAAAAAAAAGACATCCTTCTTCTTAGGAAACACACTGAAGAAGGGAGAGGGCAGGGCCATGTACCGCGGTCTGCCTCCAGTGTGCGTGGCGTGTGACTGTGAAGGGGCAGGGAGAGAGAGCAGACGTGGCGGAGAGACAGGGCACAGCTGCCTATATGAGTGGGCAGAGACTGCAGGGAGTGGGCAGACAGTCACAGCGCGCAGGTCTGCACACAGGTGTGTGGGTGCCCTTCCCCTAGGCCTGTACATTTGGCCCTCACAGGTCTTGTCAGCTTTGTCCAGAATAAGCCCAGACGAGAATCGAACTCCTCTCCAGCCAGCTGTGGCCCTAGCCTAGGCGTCCCCGGCACCATATGTGGGGGTGTCAGTGCTTTCTCTTCACCGACCCTGTCACCCCAGTTTCTCGGAATCAAGGATGCTGATGGGGACCTGACAGGCCAGAGAAAGATGGTCTCATAACCCCAGGACATCTCCAAAGATCTACATGTGTGGCCGCGGAAGCTGGCGGTGTCCCCTCTTGACCCTGACTACGGGGGTCGAAGTGCCCACGGGGCCAGGTGCCACTCAGTGGTCCGGCACCTGTCCGCCACGGAGGAGGCTCTCGCTCGAACACAGACAAAATAAAATTAAAAAACCAATCTCATAAATATTCAAACTGGGGCTTAGGATGTAGCTCAGCAGCATGGCGCTTGCCTGGCTGGTGCGAGGCCCTGAGTTCGACTCCCGGTACCGAATAAGTAAATAAATATTGAAACTACTGACGCATTTCAGATGCACACTCAAGTCCACGGTCACCTTGGCGGCTGACCTCGCAGTGCTGTGCCCGGATCACAGGTGAAGTTATTGTAAGGAAAAGCAGTGAGGTCCTGAGGGAAAGCAGGGCACTGGGCGTTGGGGCTGGGGCATAGGAGGACGAAGGCAGGGTTTTCCAGGGGCAAAGCCCTCCTCTGGGAAGGTGAAACTGGACTGGAGAGGGAGAAGGTGACGCTGACCAGGGTACTTCACGCCACGGCCAAGGAGGCACATTCTATGGTGTGCAGATTTTACTGCAATTAGAAACTAAAAACCAGGGAAGTCTGTTGAGGCTGGGAACGTCCAGAACCGCTTCTGTAAGTGAGAAGTGTTGAATGAAAGATCTTAGGGTATGAAAAAACCAGATGAACCTTTTCCAGAAATGTGTGGCATTGCTGATACCTGAAACGGACCATGACCAGGCACCCTCCGGTGCACGCGCGGCTCAGGGGAGGCACCTGCTCTCGCCCTCAGCAGGTGGGGTCCCCCCACGGCTCCCCACTCACCTTCCAAGGGCTGCCCCTCCTCCGAGATCTGCAGGTACAGCTCCCTGGACTTGGCGTTCAGCTCACTGCGGAGAGAGAGGCAGAACTGTGAGGCCTTCAAAACACAAGCTTTCCGGTTCTTCCAAAATGCACAGGGGCGGTCGAAACCCACAGAGAAGCTGAATGTTTTTAAAAAAGGTATGACACATTGGCAGGAGTCCCTCTCCAAACCCTCCTCCTCTTCGAGCACACTCCTCCCCGGTCCTGGCCACTTCCTGCAGCGGCTCTGGAGTCCTCTCTCCTGAGGGTCTCTGAGGTGTGATCAAAACTAAGGTGACTGCTGCTGCCGAGCGCCGCCCAGCGGAAAGTCAGCTTGTGAGAACAGGACACTGTGACCTCGTCCTCCTTACTCATTGGGTCTGGTACCGTGTGACTCCCGGCTCCTCCCCAGAGTCAAAATGACCAGGACAGCAGCTAAAGACACTCAGGAAAGAGGGCTCCAGAGCGGCCGCAGGAAGGGGCCGGGACGAGGGAGGACGGTGTGCAGTGAGGGGAGGATTCTCAGGGGATTCATGACAACGTGTTTTTTACTAAAACTCAATTTTAAAAAAATGTTAGACATTCACTGCATTTTAAAAGTCACACCTTGCACTATTTTTCTGATTACAGAAAGCAACATAAAGCTGTCAGCAGTTAAGAGACTGCAGTTATGTTACTACAAACAGACAGTAGGCCTGCGACCTCCTCCTCCGGTCGCTGGATCCTGGACGAGCCTCCCAGGGTCAGAGGTCACTCGCTGTGGCGCTGCCGGTGACCGAGAGCAGGCGGTCACTGCTGTTCACGTAGACCCACAAGGCCGGCCCGGGCTGGCGGCCCTGTGCGGAGTGAGCGGCACTGTGACTACCGCTCGAGCCTCGAGCGCCCCCTGGCCCTCTGCGGGGCTTCTGTCCACTTGGGCGCCATGGCCATCTTTCCGCGTCAACCCGAAGAGTCCACAGTCGCATCTCTGTGCCGGTCCAGAGGCTGCTGCTCGGCCCTGGGAGATTCTACTTTGCCAACAACTCTCCACCCTCAGGGGCGCGCCGGTCGCTTCTACTCACTCAGGTTTGTCGTGTTTCCCAGCCCTTCGCCGCCCTCTTGCTCCTGACCCATCTGCACTGTGAGGAGCGAGCTCCCCGACTCACGTTCACACGACTTCACTGACCTCCGAGGCCCGCTTTAGAGGAGACGCCCCGGCCGTTCATGAAGTTCGTGTGATCCGCGACATTTTCTACGTTTTACTGTCTGGGCATCAGAATGGGCCTGGTTTCTGCGTTCTGACAGTCTGCTTCGCTGGACCGCTGCTTCTGTGAGTTTCCGGAAGTCGCCACCTCTTCCTGTATCCATTAGTGCGTCTGCAGGTTTTCACCGATTTCCTTGGCAGTCCACCCGAGATCGAGGACTTTCTCCTCTCCACCTGCAGTGTCTGATCCTCATCTTTTATTTTTCTTTCCCCCAGTACTGGGGATCGAACTCAGGACCTTGCACTTGCGAGGCAGGCAGCAACACCACTGAGCTAAGTCCCGGGCCCGTTCCTCATCTGTCTTTTCACGTGACCACACGAGAACAAAACAACAGGACCTGTCTCTCACTGTCCTGAGATTTCCCATTCACAGTGAGTTTCTAAAATCTTATTATTAAAGAAATGTCCGTGGATTCATTCTCACAGTTTTTCAAATGAGGACTGGGTGTCGCATGTCCCCAGCTGTCCTTTAGGCACCGGTCAGGAGAGCGCCTCCCGCTCCTGAGGTGAACTCGGTGGCTGGAGCTCAGCGGCTATTACATTTTCTCCTTGAGGATATTTTTAAAAATTAATTAATTCTGAAGGTATATAAGGTTTTTTTTTTTTGAACCGGGGATCCAACTCGTGTCCCTCCACTTGTGAGGCAGGAGGCGGCACCACTGAGCTAAATGGCCGGCTTCAGGGGTACAGCGCTCCTGGATAGTCACTCACGATTCCCACATCACCACCAGTGCCCCTACCTCCCCTTCCTCCCGTCAGACTGACACCTGTCGGGCGTTTCCTTGGGTCGTCTCTGTGGCTGAGCTGCTAAGGAGAGGTGGGGACCCCATGACGGGTCCCTCCTGTCACCACAGGGTAAGAGAGGAGATGGACCCTCAACTGTCTTGAGAAAGACTCCTGCCACCTTCAAGACGCCGGGACAGTTTACTGCCTGCAAGTTAAGATTCTTAAAGCATGTGCCTTGGTGCCCGGAACTTGACGGTCTGAGCGGACGCCCGGCCCCGACCCCGGGGCATACTCACAAGGTGAACTCTTCCTCCCACACGAGGTCCGCAGTGTTCCTCGCCCGGGCGCTGGCGAACCTCTGAGCCGGGTCATTGAGCTGCGCCGTGCACACAGGGCTGGTGCCGCCTGCGGTCACAAGAGGCCGCTGGTACGCACAGAAAGGCCAGGCTAAGAGCCGCCGCTCCGCCCTCCCGCTTCCGGGTCTGTCCTTTCCTTCCTTTGCCACTGACAAAAATGCTCCAGGCCGACTTCCTGGGTTGGAGAAGCTTTACCTGCCCCGTGGCAAAGGCCCTGGGGGGACCCCAAGCGCTGCAGGCAGGACGCCGGGCCAGGGACATCCCGGAGGTGACACAGTCGTGTGCTGAACAGGGCCCCTCTTGGAGACAAACAAGCGGCTGCCCATGAAGCAGCCAGATTCACCGACTCCCAAGTCACCGCACAGAGAACGGGGCCTCTGTACCTGACTCGGCTCAATCAAAGTCCCTCTGAGGTGCGGGGTGCAGGCAGTGGACGGCTCACGGGTGACACTGTGCAGTCAAAAGCCACTAGGAGGCTTCACCCGGCCACGCCACCGCCTCAGCTGGCCACCTGGACTTCCCGACACTCAACCTGGACGGGGACCACCCTGGTGCAGGGCTGGAGCGGACCCCAACCCCAAGCCCGGGCAGCTGCACGCAGGAGCCCGCTCAGCCGCTGAGCCATTTGGGCTGAGAGGGTGACGCACGATCTGCGCCCAAGAATCGAGAAAGGCCTGGGTTACATGGGCCCCTCCGTGCCGGGACCTGGAAGAAACCCTGGCTGATAGAGGCAGGCAGCCCAGGTCCTCAGACATCAGAAAGGACTCATTTCTGCGCATCTGTCCTGGGACAGCCGTCTCCTGTCCTGCACCAGAGTCCCCGGGCACCCACAGCCCCGACACCCTGGCTGCGGGCCCCACTTTCCGGGAGGGCAGTAGCCCACGTCGCTCAGCACCATTTCAGAGTCTGGGGACAAGAGAGCACTTAGAGAGAGGAAAGACAGGAGGAGGAGAGGAGGGGTCCCAACCGGGATCAGCCAGCCATCGGCCTTCCCGGGTGCGTGCACACCCCAGGTGCTGTCCACGGGGCGCACGTGACATTTCAACATCCGGTGCCACGTGCAGTGATGTGCTCGGGACCGGCTGTGGCATCACCTCTGACGTACCTGCTTCGGGGTACACACGGGCCATCCCCTCCCCGAGCCCTGCCATCTGAAGGCCTCCATCAGCACCACATGCTCCAGGTTCACGGGTTCGAACGCAGGCAGGGGTGGGGCCCTGGAGTCCCCTCTCCTGAGGCAGCACCCACCTGAGGCCCCCGGGGGGCGGAGCAGCGAGGCCCGGATGTTCTTCACCTGCAGTCTCAGCTCGTGAGCTCTGGGCGGCTTGGGCGGGCAGCAGTCCTGGGTGGGCAGGGAGGTGCGGGGCAGGTTCTGCGGGAGAGAAAAGTACAGCGATGGCATGGGGAGGCAGACCGAGTGCCGGCCCTGGGCCCAAGGGTCCCTCCTCACGGAGGGCAGGGAGCTCCCCTCAAACACAGCCGGTGCAGGCAGAGCGCACCGTGAGTGCTGTGGGTGGGCACCAGGCGGTCCCCGCGAGTCACGCTCTGGGCATGGCTGTGCAGGTGCCCTGTGCAGGCTGCAGATGGCCGCCACCCCCTCACCGGCGGGACACCCCGCCTCCAGGCAGAGCCCAGCATCCTCTGCAGAGCATCCAGGTGCCGCCGTCCCCCTCCTCAGAGGCAGCAGGGTCGCTGACAGCAGGCGCTCCAACTCAGGACCTCGTCATAGGCCAGCCTCTGCCTCGTCTCACTGCCACCAGTGGAGACCCTCGGGCCTCACACGCCTGCCACAAGCCCCACAGGCCGAGGTCCTGCCCTTCTCGGCCCCAGGACACCCAAGGGGATGCTGACTGACGTCCTCAGGAACACGCGTGCTCTCTGCTGCTCCGAGCTAGGGGCTCCGGGCCTGGAGCTGAGGGTGAGGAGGCCAGGGAGCGACCGGGGCCTTTGTGTCACCCTCACAGGGCTCCACTGCTCAGCCACCGAGAAGGCGCGGAGGCTCATGAGCGAGTCACCGCCTTCACGTGGTCTGGGTCCTTCTGCTCAGGGGCAGGGGCTTCTAGGACCACATCACTTGATGAGTCCCGTCCAGGCTGCAGGAGGGCCCTGGGGCAGGGGACTGAAGACTGAAGGGGCAGTGAGGGACCTGCTCCCACCCCAATTCCCTGCCACCCTCTCACTGTCCCGTGTGCCGTCCCGGGATGCAGGGTGGCGAAGACCGCTCGAGATCCCTGTGCCCCTGGGGATCCAGCACTGAGCACCTGGCCTCTGGCCAGCGAACCAAAGTCCCAGACCCCACAGCCTAACGTCTGGGACAGCTGCCGCAGCAAGGGCCAGAGGCTGTGCCATGAGACTCAGCCGGAAGCAGAGCTTCAGCGGACGCCACCAAGGGCCGACCTCACACTGAGTCCCGCGCGGCCACCTCAGGGCCTGGGCCCCTCTGAGCCCACTGGTCTGATGGAGGAGGCGGTCGGCGCCCGGCCCGCATTCCTTCCCTGGGTCTGCCCCAGGCCGGTCCCGCTCACCTGAGCCTCCTGCTGGTCCGCGGGCCTGGTGCTCAGA